AAAGAGGGGGAGGCCTTCAACAAGATGGATTGACATGGTGGCTGTGATGATAGGCTCAAGTATAGCAGGTATCGTGGAGCTGGTGCAGGATCCAGCAGTGTTTCGTTCTGCTGTGCATGGGGTCGCTATGAGTCGGAACCGACTCGTCGGCACCTAACAACAACAACAATGTATATTGAGCTGTTACTAATGTCAGGTATTCTGTCAGGTGCTTAGTGGGTGCCAGTTACCATGCTGTGTATGCACCGTAGCAGTTAATCCTCAAAGCTGCCCTTAAGTTGTACTATCATTCTCCCCCTTTTTATAGCAGAAAGGAGCTCTCATGGTATAGTGGTTAAGACATTTGGCTGCTAGTCAAAAGCTCCATAGAGATTTACAGACTTAGAAACTGAATGGGGGTCACTGTGAGTTGGAATCGACTCAATGGCAATGAGTTTATTTTTGGTTTTTAAGTTGAAGAGCGCTGGTGACACAGTGGCTAAGTGCTCAGCTGGGAACTGACAGGTGGGCAGTTCGAACCCACCAGCCACTTTTCTGGAGAAAGATGTGGCGGTCTGCTGCTATGTAGGTTTACAGCCTTGGAAGCCTATGGGGCAATTCTACTTTGTCCTATAGGGTTACTGTGAGTCAGAATTGACTCTATGGCAGTGGGTGTTTTGGGTTTTTTAAAGTAGAATTCCAATTCTTGGGTAAGTGGGTGATAATTTTTTTAAATGCATTTTATTGAAATATAATTTATATATGGTGAAATACAAAAAGCTAAAGTGACATGAGTCAATACATTTTTTTTTTCCGTGTCCCCCCTACCCTGGCAACCAACAAAGAAAGTTTCCCTCCATATATAAACCTTTGCTTGACCCTCCACAACAGCAAACTAATACTGTATTTGTCTTTCTGTGATTGACTTATTTCACTCAGCATAATGCCCTCCAAGTTTATCCATGTTATGTGGTGTTTTGCAGACTCTACGTTATTCTTTAGTGCTGCATAGCATTCCATTGTGTGTACGTACCATAGTTTGGTCTCCACTCTTCCACTGATGGGCTTGTAGGTTGTTTCCATCTTTTTGCTATTGTAAATAGTGCTGCTATGAACATGGGTGTGCATATCTGTGCATATGTGTTTCTGTCCTGGCTCTCACCTCTCTAGGATATATTCCTAGTAAT